GGCTGGGGAATGGTGTGCGGGGGGTGGTGGGGTGGCTTTCTGTGAAGAGGCTGGAGCACTGGATTAGGAGTCGGGAAACCTGGCTTCCAGCATTACCTTGGGCAAACTGTGCTCTGGGCCTCAGTTTCCCCGTTTCAAGTGATCAGATGGAAGGAGATTTTTTTCTCTGGAGTTTGAGAAGCCCTCCTTCCTCTCACTGCCATTGAGTCAATTTGAAATCATCGTGACCCTATAGGGTGGGTACAACTGCCCCAATGGGTCTCTGAGATTGTATCTCTCCACCGGAGTAGAACGCTTCATCTTTCTCCCATGGAGTGGCTGATGGTTTTGAACAGCTGACCCTGTGGCTAGCAGCCCAGTGCATAACCACTCTGCCGCAGGGCTCCTTATAAGGCTTACTATTTGTCATTTGGGTGAGGAAGATAGCAGGTGGGCAGTTTGGCTCAAGGTAGGGTGGCTTGAAGAACTCATGGAGGTGTGGGCAAGTGACCAGACTGGGCAGACTGGGCGGCAGCCCCTCTTCCTGAGGAAGACTCAGACTTAGAGGTTCAGTGGCTTGCCCAAGGTGGGAAATGGTGGCTCTAATATCACTGGAATCCAGCTTTCTCTGAAGCCACAGCCACGCTGTCACCTCTGGGGGGGCTGCTCTAGAATTCATTGCTGGAGTCTCGTGTCTCTGCCCCCAACCCAGTGTCTCCTAAGACCCAGAGGCTGACAGCAGCCACTTCCTGTTCATGGTCCTCCCTTCCTCTGTCTGTTTTGTACGTTATTTGCATTTCCCCCTGGGGGGACTACTAGGGGGAACTCCCCCACCGTGCTCCCTTTTATGGTAAGGGCTTTGTTTTGCATACCTAGGAAAAACCCGGTGGGGCCTTGGGGGCCTCTAGCCCCTGCCAGAGACCCACTGCAGAGGGAAAACAGAACTGAGACTGCAGGTTGATTCCGTGGAAGCCTGAGGAGGACCTGGGAGGGAAGTGGGAGGAGCCCCCAACTACTTTCACTCCTTGCGCCCATCTGCTCCTGCATCCAGAGAGAGACCTCCACCTTCTTGGCTGCTTTGGTGCACCTACGAGGTGACTGGTTCTGGGGTTCCTGAGAGCCAGGGAGGCTGCCAGAGGCCTTCCCAGAGCAACTGGCCCGGCAAACAGGAGGGCCCCGTCAAATCCAAGATCGCCTTGCACAATGTGGCTCCTTGATGCTGGCCAGTCACCTCCACCTTATGATGAGCCTGCTGGATGGGATGAGTCCCGGGACAGGCATGCTGCAGTTTCTCCTTGCTGGGATATATAGGAGAATTCTTAACATGTCAGCCTTACATTTGTAAATGTTTACTTATATAACTTTATACCAAGGACTGAGTTGTGATCCACCCCACCCCCAAATACATGTCAACTTGCTTGGGCCACGATTCTCAGAGGTTTGGCAGTTACATAGCACTTCTATATAACATCCTCATGATGTGATCCGTCAATCACTTGTATGGGGATTCGAGTGGGGTACAACCCGCTTACTCAGGGGCGTTTTCCTGCAGTGTGGCCCGCATCCCCTTTCATCTTCCAAGAGCTAAAGAGGAGAGAAAAGCAAGCAGAGAAGAAGGAAGTCGACAATCACCAAGAAAGAAGAGCGGAGCGTGGAGGCGGTTTCTTGGGCCTGAGGAACACTGAGAACTTCCTAGACCAGCGGTTCTCAACCTGTGGGTCGCGACCTCTTTGGGGTCGAATGACCCTTTCACAGGGGTTGCCTGATTCATAATAGCAGTGAAATGACAGTGATGAAGTAGCAAAGAAAATAATGTTATGCTTGGGGGTCACCACAACATGAGGAACTGTATGAAAGGGTCGCAGCCTGAGGAAGGTTGAGGACCACTGTCCTCGATGCAGGGAAAGATTGGTGCCAAGACAGAGAGATCTCTAAGGGAAGCCAGGCTCACAGGTGTTGAACGGAGACAAAGTCAGACCGTCCCTTAGAGCCATCAGAGAGAGAAAGACTTCCCCTAGAGCCATTATTCCTGAATTTGGGCTTTGAGACTTTACCTCACATCCTTCGCACGTGTTATCAGGAGAGACCAGTGGCTGCAGAAGGACGTGGTTGGTAAAGGGCAGCGGGCGTGGAAGAGAGGAAGGTCCTCGACAAGCCGATTGACACGGTGGCTGCAGCAATGCGCTTACACATAGGAACAGTGGTGAGGATGACTGGACAAGGAGCTGGGGTGTTTGTTTGTCCCCCCCCACCCCCATGGTTGGTAGGGTCACTGTGGGTTTGAACCGACTTGAAGGCAGCTAACAACAGCAAACTATTTGTTTGTGAAAGCCATCACTGTGGTATTGATGTTCCACCACCAGATGACTGAGACGCCTCAGCCGTCTCATCGCCACCTCCCCGGTGCTGCCATGCGTGTGTGAGGCTGAACCGGGGGTGGTGGAGCACAGGGGTGTGGGGAACGTTGTTAAGAGTGTCAGGTCTGGAGGCATCGAGCCCGACAGCCTATCTGGAGCCTGTCAGCACCCGCGAAAGGAGGTAGGAACGCCTCTCCTGCCCTCTGAATAGTGGCATTCTGTCTTGTCAACACCTGGATGAACAGAGCGCCGATCCCAAAGCTTCAAAGAGCCCCGAGGCATCCTCATTTGACTGGCAAACCTGGCAACCCAGGAAGGTAAGCTGGACTAGAACTTGGAACTCCCTGCTCCTACGTGTCTCACCGTGAACCTTCTCCAAACCTTATCTCTGAATCCTGGGTAGGATGGCAAATCTTAGTCCACACTTTCATGCCCTGCAAATCTCCATAAGGACCAAGCCCAGACTCCTTAGTTGACAGTCAAGACTCCTCCGTTCCTCCCTGGCTTCATGTATGAGTCTCTATCTTTTATAAGAGTTTACACAGTATTGGTTTCAATTCTTCACTAACTGTTCAGGAGAATTCCCCAGTGGAGTCCCACCGGTCCAGACAATTTTTTTTAAAATTGAGAGATTTTTCTCATCCTTGACCCAGTGTCTTCGTTTGTTATACTGAGCTCTCCGATCGCCTCTCCATCCGTTGGAGTAGTCTGTGTGTTTGTAAGGATTTGTCTATTCCAGTGAGCTTATCTGTCCAGTTGGTTGCCAGGCAGTGGTTCATAACAGTCTCTCATGAGTCTCTTTATTCTGTCATTTCAGTGGTCATGTTCCTTATCTCATGTCTAACTTCGATGATTTGTATCTTTTATCAGTCTAGGCCAAGGATTTGGCCTTTTATCAGTCTAGGCCAAGGCTGATCGTTTTAAAAAACCAGCGAGTCGTTTTACTGAATCCTTCCCATGGTTTTCTGGTCTTGATATTATTCATTTCTGCTCTGCTCTTTGATATTTCCTTTCTTCTAGTTGGTTTAGGCTGAGCTTTCTCTTCTCTTTCTAGTTCTTGGAGTTGTGGAATTAGCCTGTTGATCTGGGATAGGCTTTTTCTTATGTAGGCATTTAGTGCTGTACATTTGTTCAACTGATTTTTGAGGCTCATTTGATTGGGAAAGAAGAGTCTTATCAATAAATGGTGTTGGGAAATTGGATTTCCACATCCAGCAAAATAAAATAGGATCCATGCCTCACATCATACAAAAAGAAACCCCACAAATTCAAAGTAGATTAAAGACCTAAATGTGCAAACTAAAATCACAAAATTCTTAGAACAAAATGCTGGGGCAACGCTACCAGGCCTAACTCTAACAATGGATTATCTAATACCACAAGCACAGACATGAAAAGATAAAACAAAGGGAGCCTTATAAAAATTGTTAAATTTGTTCATCAAAATACCTTGCCAAGAAAGCGAAAAGGCAAACTACTGACTGGGAGAGTAACTTCAGACACCACAAATCCAAAAAGAATCTAATAACCAAAGGTTATGCAAGAATTTGACCACGGCGAAAAGACAAATAACCCAATCATAAAATGGGCAAAGGATTTGAACAGACAGTTTCCAAGGAGGACGTTCAACTGGCCACCAAGCACATCAAAAGGCTCAGCCTCGTTAGCTATCAGCGAGATGCAAACCAAACCACAAGGAAAGAATCGTGCCACTAGGATGGCTAATGTGTCAGTGCCGGTGGACTAGGGATCAAGTCCGTGGATGCTCACATGTGTATGAGAGAGAGTTTTATACAAAGGGTAATTGTACATTAAGTATACGGGGTGGCTGGATAGCTCAGTCAGTAGAGCATCAGACTTTTTATCTGAGGGTCCAGGGTTCACATCCCTGTTCAGGCGCTGGAATTCCTCTTTGGGGAGGTGGTACGGAGAAACCGAGGAGCTGATACCAAGGGCTCAAGTAGAAAGCAAATGTTTCGAGGATGATGGCAACAAATGTATGTATGGATTGTGATAAGAGTTGCACGAACCCCCAATAACATTTTTTTTAATTAAAAATAAATAAAAGCATCCCAGTCCAGTCCAAGCCCATAAGTCCGATTTTAGCCCATATGTCCCATACCCATCTATAAAGTCCTCTTCAGACTCACAAAACACCTGCAATAACGCCAAATGCAGGACGATCACAGGCCAGTGGGTAGAAAGTCTTTGGCATCTCAGTGCTGGCAGGGGTCTCCACGTGGCTCCCAGTGCCACGTGTCTTGTCCGGAGAGTGTTTCCAAGGAAGTGAGCAGAGAGTCTCTCCCACCTCCAAGGAGGAAAAGCCAGATTTCCCAGAATTCTCAGGAGAAGGCCATGCCCACACAGAGGCCTCATTGGCTATGATCCGATTGACAGACTGGACTCCACCCCTACACTCTTAATCCTCTCAAGTCCCAAATTGACACCAGATTATGTAACTACCACAGCTAAAATCAAACAAAACAAAATCACAAACGTGAGCTAGGATGGGTGAAATCGGAAGTCATGTGTATTGCAGGTGGGGATGCAAAATGGTATAGCCATTGTGGAAAACAGTGGAGATTCCCCAGAAAAACTGAAAATAGAACTACCATGTGGCCCAGGAATTCCACACCTAGCGGCTTCCTCAAAAGACATAAAGACAACTTATGTACAAATGTGCTTGACACAGTGGATGGATGGATGGATGGTGATAAGAGCTGCGAAGAGCCTCCAATAAAACAATAAAAAAAAAAGACTTAAAGACAGTGACTGGAAAAGAGATGTCTAGACCAACGTTTACTGTAGTACTGTTCACAACAGGCAGAAGGTGGAAACCACCCAAATGCCCATCAATGGATGGATAAAACCTACCTACAAGGAATACGGCTCAGCAAGTGTTTTTTTTTAATGAAGTCTTGATACATGTTATACAATGTGGATCAAGTTTGAAAACATTAGGGTGAGCGAAATATGCCAAACACACAAGAGCTTACCTTAAAAAACTAAAAAGACAAACGTAGAGAGAGCCAAGTGTAATGGCGCTTACACGGAGCCGGGAAGAGAGGAAGGGCCTTTGAGTAGGTTCTTACAACAAAACAGAACACTGCCCCTCCCTACACCATTCCCACAACTGCCGGCAGGTTCAGCCCATTGTTGCAGCCACTGCGTCAGTCCATCTCCTTGAGAGTCTTCCTCTCCTACTGACCCTCTGCTTTACCAAGCCTGATGTCTTTTTTCAGGGACTGGTCTCTTCTGAAGAAAGGTCTGAAGTATGTGACCCATGGCCTGCCATCCTTGCTTCTAAGGAGCCATCTGGTTGCTGTTCCTCCAAGACAGGACTCCTTGGTTCGTTTGGCGGTCCATGGTACTGGCAATGGTCTTCACTAAGACCATGATTCAAGTGCATCAGTTCTCTGCCCTTCCTCTCTCGTTGTCTGTCTTTAGCCTGCAAATGAGGTGACTGAAAATGCCTTGGCGTGGGTCTGTCCCACCTTAGTCTAACAAAATGATACCCTTGTTCCTTAACACTTTGAAGAGGTCCTTTGCAGCGGAACACTTAACCACCGTGTCACCAGGCTCCTTGGACCTTGGAAAGCATTCAGTAACTGGGGCCTTCCACCTCTAACTGATGTGTAAGGAATGCCCAAGGACGCACAGTGCCCCAAGGCCAAACCCCTTGCGTTCTAGTTGCTCTGGTGACTCAAGTCAAGTCCAAGATCTTAATTTGACATAAGACGCTACACTAAACTCAGCCATGGAATCAATGCTGACTCATACTGACCCCCCCCCCCTGGTTTTCCCAGACTGTCACTGCTTACGAAAGTAGAAAGCCAACCTTTTTTTTTTTTCCCCCAGAGGAGTGGCTGGTGGTTTCAAATTGCTGACCATTCCAATCTCAGCCCAAAGCATAACCCACATGCCATCAGGGTTCCCTTACGAGTCTAAAGAAAAAGTGTTTTACTCAAAGCATTTTATGAATGGGAGCAGAAGTGTTCTTATCTAAACTCTGACACGAAGTAACAAGACCGGGAGTCTTTCATCAGACCCGGTTGTCATGTGATCAAGAGCTTAGTTCAGCAACTCAGAGTAAACAAACACTAAGTGGCTGAGCTTTCAGCATAAGCTTTTCGGCGGCTTCTTCCTCCAGAGTGGGGAGCCGAGTCCCACGGGGAACAGACAGGATCAGAGGGAGGAGAATTGCCCCGAGTTCAATACAACGACACGGTGCTACGTGGGGACTCCCAGCGCCGGCCCAGCGGGCTCTCTCCCGCAGTGGCCCCCCGCTAATCCCGGGGACGGCCCTTCGGCGCCCGACCCCCGCCTCGGGCTGGCCGGACCCCGCCGCCGAGTCTGGGCTCCGCATCCGTGGCCCGAGGACCGGACGACGGCCCCTCCTCCGCGCGCAGCTCATTGCTCAGCGGCCCCGCCCACGGACCAATGAGCAGCGCGGACGTCCGGTCGCCTGGGAGACCGCGTGACAACGAGATGGCGGCGCCGCGGGACGGCTCGGGGGTCCTGCGCGGTGAGTGCCGGCCCGAGGCCTCAGCTG